ATGGTCAGGTGGGATAATGTAGATTTTACTAGCATTTCTCACTGAATCCCGTCTGGATGCGCCATATCAGTCACTTTTACTGACTGTAAAGATTCTGACAACTTTTATCTTCTATAAAACAAGCTGTAGAAATAACTAGGTTGTATTAATCATGTGTGAATCGACATGTTGGTAAAAATGCTATCATATTCTGTTGAAAAGGAAGTGTGGAGACATTGTGTTTTCTGTGGCTAAAATCAAGCCAATATGTACCTTTACTCTCCTATTTCATGCTTTATTTAGCTATTTTTAACTGTTCCAGGTAGGATTGGTCACCAAGCGCTGGTACAAGTGCTTCAGTTACCATTTTTAGTATTTCTCTTTGTAAAGCTACATTTATTCACCAGTGTAGCCTTTGCTAGCTTGGAAGCTGTAATGCTATCATCATTAGCATATAGCAGCTGGAAAATACATCTTTTTTGCTCATATTTATGAGAATGTACGTTTTGCTCGACTCTACACTGATAGTGAGCAGCTGTAGACATTTGTGTGAGGGTATGTGTGAGTAGAAATCATCTTAAGCCCTATTCGGACAGGATTAGCTTTACATGGAGAGGTGGTGTAAATATTGCCGCGTTTCTTAGTAATTTTAGTCTCATCTGGGACTTTTCCTTCTATAAAACAAGCTGTAGAAATAACCTCAGGTTGTATTAATCATGTGCAAATTGACGTGTTGCTAAAAAAGCTATCATCTTCTGTGGAAAAGGAATTTAAGTGTGGAGACACTGTGTTTTCTGTGGCTAAAACCAAGCCAATATGTAACTTTACTGTCCTTTTTCACATGTACGACTCAGAACAGACAAAAATCTCAGCAAAACGTTTGGTTTCATGTGGTGAAGTTGACTGCTGGCTGTGAATTCCCAAGCTAATGGCGACGCTATTGCTAATGAGACGCTACATTCACTTAAGACAGCTGGGTAAATGGTTAGGGTAAACACAATAATGGCTAAATTAAAGGTTTTGATGTTTTCCACCAAAAAGGGTTCTTCTGTTGTAACAAACCTGACATCATCACAATAGAATAACCCTTTTTGGTGCTATATAGAACCCTTTTCAAAAAGGTTCTATATAGAACCATCTACAGCACATTCTTCATCAGACTGAAGAACCATTTCACAATGCGAAGAACCCTTTAATCATGCAAAGATTCTTTGAGTGTTTGTAGTTCTATATAGAACCGCTTAGTTTACTAAAGAACCCGTGAAGAACCATCGCTTTTAAGTGTGTAGGTATCATCATGATGTTGTTTGAAGGCATTTTCACAATGAACAATATGTCTCATTCTATGTAGTATTTAAAACAATATGAGTGCAGTAATTTTCCTTCAGTGTTTGATATACTTCACTGCACTAAATCCAAATAAACCAGACTAATCCTGCTCTCCTTTAGTGAAGCATGCAGTTGGGCCGTGTTCTTTAAAGGGGGAATTCCAGTGAACGTTTCTGAATAATTAAATGGTTAAGATGGTAACAAGGTCATTCTGAGTGTTTTGATGTGAAATGCATCATTGTTGAGAAACTTATCAGAATTGTTCACAGTGGTGGTGATAGGAACCAGACGTCCAAAGTAATAATTCCTCCTTATAAAGCTCCCTCACAGAAAGGTATTACGTGACATTTTATGAGTGCACTGCCTGATGCCTGAGACGTTGTTTTACGATATTTTTAAGAAGCTTTTGGTCTAAAACCTATTTTTTAAAATCCATTCCTGGCAGAGAGTCACATCTGGGGCATTGTAAGACACAATAGTTCCCAAGGAACTATTTTTTCAGATTTTCTGTTATTTTATCATCATCAGCATTGCAAATAAAACCTCAGAAGGTACATGTAGGTTCACTGGTCCTTTAATTAGTAGGACAGTAGTGAAAATAGCTACTTTTGTGTTGTAGACAGTGACCTCTGACCAAACTCTGTCGTTAAGCTTCTCTGTAATGAAGCATTTCACATCGAACAACTCTGAATGAGTCTGTTTACACTTTCACCAACTAAATTAGGCAGAAATTTTGGAAAATCAATGGAATTCCCCTGTAGGTACAAGCAATGTAGTGACATAACTGATCTTGAGATTGATAAAATATCATCAAAGTTCAAAGCCTCCTATTCAAGCCCACTTCTTAGAAGTTAACACGAGTGAAGCTCTCCATCTGACGTCAAGGTTAAAACCTTCTCTCTTGAGTGTTTGTTCTCTGACTGTGTTGATCTCTGAAGAATGCTGTGTGGTGAGTACTTATTAAAAAGAAAAAGATACGGTAAATCATTTTATTTGTGTCTCATAGGATGCATGTGAGAGTCTTCAGACTTCCAGATAGGTGGCACGTCTGAGCAAACCTAATACAGTGGGAGCGAATGGGAAGACAAACATATCACTTAAAGGATGCATATCTCAGGGAAAAACTCTTGTTTTTTTAATAAAAAGTTTTCCAGTTTCACTCCACATTCCAAACTGCAGGCTGAATAGGCTGATATGTGACTGACTTTGTATTTGTGACGTCACAGAACAGAAAATTCAAAACAGGCTGTTTTTGCAGTGTAGTTTCCATACCCACCTGTCTGGTCTACAGTTCAGCACCGCCCATACAGGCTGAAGTTATTCAGCCCGTACTGCTTTGTTAATAAGACAATACAAGGCAGCCAATCAAAGAAGAGTTCATTTGCGTATGTCAGGCTTAAAGGCACATAAACAGACTGGTTAATTCTGTGGATAAAGCGATGTTGAAGAAGGTCATGTAAAAAAGAATCATTAACAAATTCATGACTGGACATCAGTGGATGTAAAATACAGGAAAACTGTAAAATATGCTCTCTTTAAGTAGCATAAAATGATGTACCTGCAAAGGTTTTGTTAGCCGTAAGCAGTTATGTGCTAATTCTTTGGCCCAAAAGTGGTTTCAACACCTGAAACATTTGAGTTCTGACATTACAACAACGGGATCAAATGGGTGGGCTTACTAAAATAGACTTTTATCAGTTGTTAAATCAGTTTTAGAGTCTTTATAAAGAATAGTGACGAGATATATGAGTTTATGTCTGAGGTTACACTTAAATTCCTCACATCATTGTAAAAGTACTTAGTGAATAATACAACATTGTTTGAAGGTTTGGACTCACATTAATAGTTACTGTTGTTTTATTCAGTAATCACTTATATACAATGTAGAAACATACAGTGAAATACTTTCAACTAGACACCAGAAGGCATTTTAAGATGTTTTAGTCAATAAAAGTTTATTGGGAAGTTATTAAATTATAATAAATATGCTGCAACTACAGTTCACACTGTTTTTTTAGCAAGGTTGTGGTCATGGTGGTTCTAGTTCAGGCAGGGCTACCTGAACTGACCTTACACATGACCTTTTGTCATATGCAAAAGTTTGGGCGCCCTTAGTCAAATGACATGTTTTGTTGATTTTCATAAGTGACAATAAGTTAACACGTCCTCTGTAGAGAGCACAGTTTTGCACATTTCAGTGCACAATTACTGTTTACCTGCTGAATGTAAGATATAAACATATATAAAATATGTCGTGCAAGAGATTTGACCCATTAAAAATGTTATGTTATGTTGTTTGTGTGTGTTAAACTCAGCAAAGACATAAAAAATAGTACATTAAAATTAGCAGAAATTTAACTTTGTTAACTGTATAGAATATAACCTACAACCAACAAAACATATTACTTGTAATTTTTGAGTGTTTTACTAATGCATGCGACTGTCTTTTTAATGCAGTGGTGATGCAGTCACTGTAATCCACTGTAAAGGCCTTGTTTGTTACAGTTATGAAGGTAAAGGTTTATGGGAATGCTGTGTTGTTATGATCAGTAGTGCAAAGTGGGATTGGGGGGATTTGCCTTTGAAATACACCATTAGACCACCTTCAGCACACCCATAACTACTACAGCAAAATAATACTCAATTCCCAGAATTAAACACCATTGTTTATTATTATTGTGGACTGTTAGACTATATGGCTCATTCTGTCGAACTGCTGCAAAGTCAGAGTTGAAAACACCTTTCAGACTTTTAATTAACTTGGACTTTAGACTAAAATCCTCTTGCTTTGAGTGACCTTATAACTTAAGTGTGTTTATTGTATTAAAAGAAATGATTGCACCTTCCATTTTGACTGTAACAAACCCATAATAACACTGCCTAAAACTCTACCAAATGTTTCAGTAGTGACTGTTTCAGTAGTGACCATTTTAGCTCATTTTAAGCCAGTACATGACCGGCAAACACGGTTTTGAACAGTTGTACACACATAAAATCAGAATAGTTTTCATGTAAACACCAAAAAATTGACGTATTTGCAAAAAAGTATGTGTTTCGGTCGTGACAATTCGTAATGTTTCACACTGATTTTTAGGTTTTGGGACACAGTTACTTCAAAACAATTGGATCTAACTGCTCACCACGTGGCCATGAGGAACAGGGATGCAGCCTTACTTCCTGCTCCGAAATGCAGGGGTGTGGCTAAAATCAGCCTCCGCTTATGGACTACATCTCTTGGGGCAGCATTTGCTGAATAACGATAACTCATCACGTATCTAAATATAATTCTCTAAAACTTGAAGAGAAATCAAAATGATCTTTAAAAAAATTATATAATTTAATTTAACTTTAATTGGACTTTTTAAATAGATCATGACATAATCCTTGTAAATATTTAAGGTAAATATTAAGGTTGAGTACTAGTTTAGATTTAGTTGAGTTTTTTTTAGTTTAGTTTGTTTTACATTTTCGGAGCAACTAATGAACAGAACAGCAGAAAAACAAAAAGCACACAATGACAAATCACAAGGTTTTCTTCATACTGTTATTCGTTTGCTCAGGTTTATATTTATTAATATTTATGATGCTGCTAAAAGACTTTTGCCCTGAGCTCTACACCTAAGAATTTGTACCTAATGTTAAGTATGTGTTGTCTCTGTCAGTAATGCAGTTTGTTTGCTCTGTGTCTGCAGGAAGGATGAGAAGGAATACGCTCTAAAGCAGATTGAAGGCACTGGGATCTCTATGTCGGCCTGCCGGGAGATCGCGGTGAGTCCAGCACAGTCCAGATCAGTTATATGATCTGTAATAGTGTTTATATTTGGAAATATCAAATGTTGTTTTTTGGTTTGCATGTTTTCTTGGTGTTGTTGTTGTTTTTTTATTTATTTATTTATATATTTATTTATTTTTAAAGAGTTGAGGGATCTATCTCACAAAGCACTAAGTTAAGGTTCGTGACTATGGCTGTATTCACACTGCAGGGAAAAAATGGCCAAATCTGTCCTTCTTTAGACTTGGGGAACGGTGCAGTACACAGTTTGCCACAGTACAATTCCAGCAGGTCAATTTAAAATTTTATTTTGTGAAAAAAAAATTATCACATGTTAAACTTTAATTCATGTTAGTAAAAATTGTTACTGCAATTACAACGATTTAGAGAAAGGCTTAATTTCTTACCAGTAAGAAACAAAATCGTACATGCTAAATTATAATTAAATTTTCAAAAATTAATAATTATTTTTATGTACAGGCATATGTGCTTGATTTTTATGTACATTAAAAGCATCTTTACCAAACAAGTTACTATTATTTGCAGCACTTCATCTCTTAAAATTCATAGCTCTGTTTCTGAGATTTTTTTTTTTTTTTCGTGTCCATTTTGGCAAAACCGGATCTTCACTTGGCATGGGTTGTAATATGTGTGACCTCATTTACATGTTAATTTTGATTGGCCCTCAGGTGAAAATAGCTCAGCGTTATATAGACGCTAAAGATGAATTTGAGGAAGAGCAAAACTGAAATTTGCATGCACTCATTTTATGATCAGATTTGGTTGTGGGCAGCTTTGAGGAATTCGCTCCATATGTGACTAGACAAATAAGTAATTAAGATTTGGGCCACTTTTACCTGCAGTCTGAACTCAGCCCAAGTCAGAGCTTCACAAATCCTAACAAATAGAACCGCAGTTAAGTCTAACTTTCTCTGTTAACTCAGGTTTACATACTCAAGCGTTGTGTGTGGATGTGAGAATGTGATGTTTACAATGAACAGCCAATCGAGTGAAACATGGGTGGAAAAAGACAAGATACTTTTCACGTGATTGGCTGTTTGGCCCAAAGGTCACAAAGTGTTCATGCAATGTTCTTCTTTTAGCGTGTTAGTTGCATGTGTACTATAAAACAGTGTAATAACTCATGACTTGTAGCAGTGACCAAATGACCGATGACTTGCAAAAGTAACCTGAAATTGACCAGAGGATACACTCTGCACTACTCTACCAGAAGGTTGAGTAGAGAGCTGTTTGTGATCCATAATCCTGAACTTAACCTTCTCCAGAGCAGATTAGGCCTGTGGTATGAGTTGCCATGGCAATGTACTTTGATAAAAAGTGATGATGATGAGGCAGAAAATCCTTAGCTGACTAAGCAAGAAACCCTGCTTCGTGAGACAGACCCCTGTTCAAATCAGCATTCAGTTTTCTTTATCAAATTTCTCCAAGTCAAATGAGGGTGTGACCTTCAAAGTGCCTCAGCTGCAAGAAAACGAGAAGAAAAAGAAGAAAAAAGAAGCTTTCAGAGAGGATTACTAATCGCTCCTTCACTCGTTTGATCAAAGGACCACAAAATGTGTGTAGCTTGTTATTTTACCTCCAAAATAAGTGGAAACCATTACATAGGAAGTCAGTGGAAGTAAGAAATGAAAAGGTCAGAAATTGAGGTTTTCTTGTAAATAGCTGGTGTTTCCTGTGGTATTTTCTCTTGCTGAGTTAAGCAGAAGACCTAACAAATGCAGCTTCCAACTGTCTGTGCAGTCTTATCAGATACGCAGCCCTCAGAGAGAGAGATTTCAAGGTTTGTTGTCTGTTGCATGCTGATTGGAGCTTGTGAGGACTGCAGATCTTTCTCCAAACATAATCACGTCTCATTTCCTCATGCTCCTCACACAGACTCCGAAACGACTTTATATAACCGCCGCTTTATACAAGAATGTCACGTTCAAGTGAGATTCCAGCTTTAGAAAAGGGGTTGAATCTAATCGGGTCTGTATTTTTAAGGGTCAGTGGGTGTGTGTCCTGTCCACCCTTTCATTTTCACATGCAAAATAAATAGTGGCAGCTGCGAGTGAATAATGGAGTAGTAAATATGAGCAAATGTATTTTAATTTCTTACAGAAATATTGTATTGTAACTGTAGGAGACTCTTGGCTAAAGATACAGTGCCAGGCCTGGATTGCACTTTCTGCTTTTCCTTATTTCAAAGATAGTAATAATAAAATAATAATGGTAATAATAATAATAATAAGAAGAAGAAGAAGAAGAAGAAGAAAGAGAAGTATTGGGGATGCATTGAAATGATAAGTAACTACTTTTTGGGTGTGTCTCTGAAAAACCTCTGTTTGGAGGGCCATGTAGCCCTAGCACTTTGCCCTGCCCCTCTATCTCAACAACAATTCGGGACATCCTACCCCTAGGCGTGAACACGCAATACGGAGGTGTAAAGGCTAAGTGGTAGGGGCAAGGGGTGAAATGGGATTGGGCCTTAGTGTAAGTAAGTGTACTGCACCTTAATAGTTAAATCATTAAAATCTAGCTGATATTAAATTAATAGCTAGCTATGCTAACATTCGTTACCTTAAATCGAGTAGTGTTGTACTGGAGAAGTGTGGGTTTTCTTTGTAAGTAAAGTGCTTCTGTAATGCTGTAAAGTACATTTCATAGCTTTGATCCTCATCTGTCTCTTTCAACAACCTCTGTAGCCTCTGTAGCAAGTGTCTTTCGTAATACGGACGAATCTGATGACGTTTACTGGGTTTAAACAATTTTGCAAGGCATTGTATGTAGAAAGTGAAGCATTTATCATCAGTGAAGAGCAGTTTTGCCACCGCATGCTTATTGGTGTAATACTTGCTTCACATTCTTGATATCTACGTAACATTTGTTTTCTCCACTGAAAAGCAATATTTTTTATTTGATTTTAGATTGAGGCCACAAATATCACAAAGACAAAAATAGTGACCCAAATGAAGGACCATGGAGCTAACCTCCATCAGAAAGATGTCCCTGGTCAGTCAGAAGCTCTCCCTGATTGGTCCAAGAGCTATGTATTATCTGAAATCCTGAACTTAGCTGGCCCTGGAGTGGGTTAGTTGCCGTTGTGATGTAGACTGGTAAAAAGTGATCCAACATCATGACAGAAAATCCAGATCAATCAAACTACCTAGATCGAACTAAGCTTAAAGTTAGGCTAAGCAGGAAATCCTGCTTCATGGGACCAGCATAATGTAATCACAAATACTGAAAGATTAATAAAAATGTATCAGCTGTCAGGTACTACGGTCCAGATTTGCCTGCTTCTGGAAATAACTGACCTGAACTTTATATTTACTCTTAACCTTAAAGCCCTGTGGTTTTCTCCTAAAGCCTGAACGATGTAGCAACACAAGACCTCGTGCTTGATCTTGTTGTTGTTTTCATGGCTGCATATCTTTCCGTGGCCAGGAATGCAGTTGACCACCTAAAAGGCAGCCCAACATTCCTCTCGCAAGATTGGTATCAACATCTCGCTGTGCTCTATCCGAGGGGTGTAATGAGAAATAAGTGCCTAGGCCAGTTTCACATCTGCTAGATAGTAAAGACTCCACTATCATGACCCAAATGACCCTGACCATAATCATCCACACTTTAATCCACCCACATGTAAGCTCTAACATGGGCTTAAAGCAACAGTTTGGAAAAAAATAACATTTAGGTAATTAACAATGACATTTTCATGGTCATAGTGCAAGCGGATTAAGGCATAAAATTACAGCGCTGGTGCATGTGAGTGTGGCAGATATAGTTTTTTTTATTTTCCTGACCGCCAGCGCAGGCTGTAACCCCTCTACAACTGTAAACAGGGGTTAAATAAATAAATTTAAAAAAGTAATAAACAGTAAAAAAGAAAAAGGAATAGCTTTTGTTGTGAGGACACAGCTTTAATTACAAAAATGACATGGAACTAGTTGTGTGTTGTGAATTGCATGCAGTATTTTTTCACTCCATCACCAGGTCATTCTCACAATGTGAAGTCATACGCGAGGTGTAATGTATATATACACTGATCAAGCATAACATTATGACCACCTCCTTGTTTCTATGCTCATTGTCCATTGTAGTTCTACAATTACAGACTGTAGTCCATCTGATTTCTTGTTAGCCCCCTTTTACCCTGTTCTTCAGTGGTCAGGACCCCCATGGACCCTCTCAGAGCAGGTACTGTTTGGGTGGTGGATCATTCTCAGCACTGCAGTGTGTTAGTGTGTGTTAGCTAACACACCACCACCACATCAGTGTTACTGCAGTGCTGAGAATGATCCACCACCCAAATAGTACCTGCTCTGTGAGGGTCCATGGGGGTCCTGACCACTGAAGAACAGGGTAAAAGGGGGCTAACAAAGTATGCAGAGAAACAGATGGACTACAGTCTGTAACTGTAGAACTGCAAAGTGCACCTATATAGTAAGTGGAGCTGATAAAATGGACAATGAGCGTAGAAACGAGGAGGTGGTCATAATGTTATGCCTGATCGGTGTATATTATATGGCCAAAGTATCAGACCTATATGAGTTTGTTGGACATCCCATTCCAAAACCATGGGGATTGATAAGGAGTTTCCCCCGTTTGCAGCTATAACAGCCTCCACTCTTCTGGGAAGCTTTCTACAAGATTTTGGAGTGTGTCTGTGGGGATTTGTGCCCATTCAGTCAAAAAGCATTTGTGAGGCCAGACACTGATGTTGGTAGAAGACTTGGCTTAAAATCAATGTTCCTTTTTATCCCAAAGGTGTTCAGTGAGGTTGAGGTCAGGGCTCTGTGCAGGCCACTGGAGTTCCTCCACACCAAACTCATCAAACCCTGTCTTTATGGCAGATAGTTCTGCTTGTTTTAAGTAATAAACTGTATCTACAATGCAGGTCCTGTTCATGCTTGGTGTTGACATCCGTCTCGAGTGATCTGATCAGAAGTAGATAGCGAGACGTGTACCCGTTCACACCCAGCATGTGATATGT